TTAAGTAACCTTTTATTACATGTTCTAGAGGTATGAAAGAAGTTTTCTTTGATGCAAATCACTGAAGTTACTCGTTCTCACACGTCTGTCATCTCGAGTATTACCAAACAGTGCATCATGGGAAGGGTAGCAGGAACTGAGACGTTTTATGAATGATCACATAAAACTATGGGAAAGGTCTGACGTATAAGAATAGTTTTGTTTACCACAATAAGTCATCGATTTATTTTCTTTGAACAAATTTTAGGCAAAAGAAAATGGTTCAGTGTAAAAACTTAGTACAATAAACCATGCTTGTAGGTCTGTTTTACTGCCTTTAAATTGTACATTTTCTTTATAATACGTTTCTGAAGTTAAATTGAGACTGTTGATATTTTTTTGTGTTTAAATGTGCATTTTAGAAGAAATTATGTGGACGTAAAAGTGACTCCCGTATCGTACTTATCAGCTCACAACTCTTCGAGTGGCAGTCAGTCAGTTCTCTGTTACACACTGTTGGCGAGAAATAATATCAGAGTTGCCTACTTAGCGACTTTGTAGCTAGATCTAGAGCTTTTTGTTTTTTTCTAGCGACATTTTAGAGCGATTTGCGACTTGTCGCAAATCTAGAGATATCCACAGAAATCTAGCGACTTTCTGGATACTTTTGGACTGTCCATGAAAACTCAGTTTTCCTAATTTCGAGCCATAATATATAGCAACGGGGTTACAGGGACAATAAATAATAAAAGTTTAATACATTTGAACGGGTCGCGGTACAGACTGAGGGACACGTCTATTTCCTGATCACTTGATGTCAGCCCGTCCATGGCTAATGTTGCCGTGTCGTCATTTATTTGTCTATTACCTTCGCCTTTGTAGCACCTGGGTAACTTACCTTTTTGTCAGATATGCAATATGAATTTCATTAATACGCAAAATTTTAAAGAATATTAGCAAAACATCTTATAGAATTAATTCTATCAAGCCTGCGTGGTTCCAAACTTCTCATACGCCTCCACCATGGGTGACCCATAGACTCCATACAGTTGCCCCGCAGGTCGACACTGTTCACCCGCTTTGCCAAAACCATCAAGGAAAGTTTCTGCTTGTTTGCATGCTGTTTATTAATTTGAACCCTTCATAGTCCCAATAGAAAATGGGTAAGCCACAGTATTCGCAGCGATTTAGGAAGGAATGGCTCAGAGATGACAGATACAAAAATTGGCTTCTGGAGGTGCCAGGAGATAATAAAAAAGGATTTTGTAAATTTTGCAAGTGTACTTTGTCTGCTAAGTTGTGCGACATTGAAAAACACTAAAACACTAAAAAACACAAGAAAGCAGAAGAGCCGTTTAGTGCAGAAAGACAGACAATTTTACCATTCAAGAAACTTGGTGAAGCAAAAAAAGTGGAGGGAACTCTGGCCATGTTTGTAGCTGAACATTGTTCTATTCTTGTGGTAGAACACTTAAGTGAAGTGTGTAAAGTATGTTTTAGTGACAGCAAGGCAGGCAGTGAACTCAAGTTAAAAAGATCAAAGTGTTCTGGGATAATATGCAATATTCTTGCGCCACATTTCACAGAAAATCTGAAAAATGATATTGCTGATAGAAAATTCAGTTTAATCATCGATGAAAGTAACGATGTTTCCGCCTCAAAGATGCTAGGAATTGTGATTAGATACTACACGGATTCGATGAAGCGTATTGTGGTAACCTTTTTAGATTTAGTGGAACTGGGTGGGTGTAATGCAGAAGCAATTTGTGAGGCACTGAAAAAGTCGATCAAAGACAATGGACTAGACCTGCTGAATTGACTTGCACTTGGGACAGACAACGCGTCAGTAATGGCCGGGATTATCAGTGGAGTGTTCGCAAGGTTAAAAGCTGAAGTCCCACATCTACAGCGAATTAAATGTGTATGCCACTCCCTACAGCTTGCTGTGTCACATGCTACGTGCGAGAAAATGCCACGGCACTTAGAGTTCATGATTAAGGAAATATATAACTGGTTTTGTCATTCTTCTGTCCGTCAGGCTAAGTACAAAGAACTCTATGAAACTATTAATGATGGTGTACCACCTTTGAAATTGATACAGCTGTGTCAGACTCGCTGGTTATCTATTGAGCGCGCTGTGGGGAGAATTCTACAACAATGGCTCGAGCTGAAGACCCACTTCCAGGTAGCAAAACTACAAGAAAGATGTTACACAGCAGAACTTTTGCACTCAATGTTAGATGATGAGGAAAATCATGCATTTCTCTTATTTCTTAGGCCAGTGCTTGCAGAGGTACAAGCTGTAAACCTGGCCTTTGAAGCAGAAATGCAGGACCCAACAAAACTGATGAAGGATTTGGTTTTACTTATTGATTCATTGGGCTCTAAGATACTGACTCCCGGGAAAAAACTCTCAAACTGCACTGTTATTGAAGAACACTTGGATCCTAGGCCATACTTGGGCTTTCAGTTCGAAAAAAAAATGGATGAATGCAAGCTTCCCCCACAGGTTGAAAGCATTGTACGAGAAAGATGCATTAATTTTGTTGTTGAACTCATAAAACAACTTCGTCAACGCTTACCTGACAACATTCGTGTGCTGCAGTCTATTTCTTTTCTGAGTGCCGATGAATGCTTGAAGCCTATTAAATCAGATATACTTGGTTTGGCACACTTATTTACAGAAGATTCCAGCACCCTTACCAAGATTGATTTCCAGTGGAAAAAACTGCATCACACAATCTGGACAGAAACATCTAACACCCTAATATTGTGGTCAGAAGTGGCAAATTACAGAGATGCGACAGGTGAAAACCCACCATGATCTGGCTGAAATTGCACTCGCTGCCTTATCTCTTCCGCATTCAAACGCAGATGTAGAGCGCACATTTAGTAATATGAACTTTGTGAAATCAAAATTGCGCAACAAAATGAAACTATCGACATTAAAGGCAATTCTTACAATAAAGTATGGGTTAAAAAGACAGAACACCTGTTGTGCAAGTTATGAACTTCCTAGTGATATTTTAAGAAAGATAGGGACTGTGGAGGCATACAGTTACAAGAGAACCTGAACCAAGCACTTCACATGCTTCCAGCTCTACAGTTGTTCACACTGCCGACGACTACGAAAAGGACTGGGATGCAATTACTATTGAATAATAGGTAAGTGTGCACATTAAACTTTAAAAAAAATAATATTTTTATTTTTACATAATGCATTTTATTTATACTCCGTCCATTATAGTCGGCATTATGAAAATATTATTTGCATCAAATTACTGAAGGGGGGGGGAATAATAGCTAGCGACTTTCCATGGAAGATTTAGCGACATTTAGCTACTTTTAGGTACCAGCCTAGTTGGCGACTACTGGGTCTGTAAGGTTATGGAAGAAAAGTGTCCCGCACATCACTGCCCCTGCTGTTCAGAAGCTCGGGCGAATCAAAACAAACCATCACACACAAAAGTCATCAGTTACTTGACTCCACTGACTGATGTGTATGGAGGAACAATCACGTATATTAACATTATACAAACTATTAAGTGAATATTCCATATATACAGTAAATATAAAACTCATGTAACCTAACCTATTTAAAGTAAAGATGAATTTTAACATGGGGTTGTCTTAAAGGAAATAGTCTCTCTTTATATATAGTATGTGCTATTACCATTGAGTTGTAGTAATAATAACAAAAAGACTTCCTTCTTATTCAAACCTCCTTTCCGTCTTAAGATTAAATCGACCTAAAACACGTCTGCAATACTAGTTCACGTCTTGTTATATTTAATAGTTATTTATGAACCTGTGTATGTATGTTTGCCTGATGTAAGATGGTGTGTGGCAGACTGTAACATCACAATTATATTATTTGATTCTCTCTTCCATGTCCTCTCTCTCTCTCTCTCTCTCTCTCTCTCTCTCTCTCTCTCTCCTTCCGTCTTCATCCCTCCCTTTCCACCAACCACGGAATGTATTTTTCTTTTAGAGAAAGAGGAAATTAAAATAAGAGAAAATGGTTAGAGGTGTAGGAAGGTTATTGATAGTTCGGAAATTGAATAGGTGGACAAAGAGGTAACAGATAGCCTTGTTAATTATGAGGCATTGGGTTGGTTAGTGTAGGCGTTTATCTACACGGCTGACTCTATCATCGCTACTGACACTAGCTAGCTTATATCCTATCCCATATTCAAGGGATTTAAGGCCATATTTTGTAATCCATTGACCTTACTAGCGAATTCTGGTCATGGGAGGCTGTCTGTCTGTTCCCAACACTCTGAAATATCCTTTATAAGCTGTATCCCTTTCCTCTCTCCCTCCTCTCCATCCCCTCTCTTCCTGCCCTTGAAATATCCCTTCCACTCAGTACCCCCTCTCTTCCGTCCTTCCCCTACCCTCCGTCCTTCCTTCCCTCCCCTGCTTCCTATATTCCCCCTTCCCCTCCTTCCAACCATCCACTCTACCACCCCATATATATATACCTCCTTTTCCTCTCCGCACCCTTCCCTTCCCTTTCCTTTCTCCCCCACCCTCTACTTTCTTCCCACCCCTCCCTCCCTCTCCTCTCTCCCACACCTTTCCCTCCCCCTCTTCTCCCACCCCTCCTCTCCTTTTTCCCTCTCCTCTCCTTTTTCTCCCTCTCCTCTCTTCCTACCCCCTCCCTCTCACCCATCCTCTCCTCTCCCTTTATGTCCCTACCCCTCCTATCCATTCCCCTTCCTCTGTCCCTGCCCCTCCTCTCCCCTCCCTTTCCTTCCTCCCTCTGTGCCTACCCATTACCCCCCTCTCTCCCCATACCCCCCTCTCTCCCCATACCCCCCTCTCTCTAACCACCCTTACTATCTTCTCTCGCCTCCAACCACTCTCCCACCCCAAAATACCCCTTCCAATCTGTCACTCGCTCCCTCTCCCCACCTTTCCCTCATCTCTTCCCCACCCCACCCCTCCCCTCTCTCCCCACCCTCCCTCCCTAACCCCTCTCCCCCTGTACCCCCTCCCCTCCTCTACATCCAGTGTCAACAGAGGGAGGCAGCACCAAGGCCATACCGTCACAACACTTGACGTCCCTCTGCTCGATGACCTCCAACCAGAAGTCACCGAGACCGACCCTCTTGTTTATATATATTACTGCGGCGTGTGTCTGTAGAGGACTCGGTTTATTACGTCACTGTTAATGGTAAGCTAATAATTGAATATACTCGTACTCTGTTTTCCTGTGGGTTGTTGGGGATCCTGATGACGGGTTTCATTAGGTTAGGTTAGCTGGTTTAGATTAAGTTAGTTAAGGATGTATAGGTTAGGTTAGGTTAGGCTCTGGACCTGGTTCAAGGAGGAAAACTTGAGCCTCTATAGCTCAAGTTATTCTTAGAGAAGAAAATGTTACTTTTATTTGCACGGGTTTGGCTGAGAGTCTGATGTCATCATAGGATCTCCATGGCGTCACGTTCCCTGAACCAGTTTAGAAAACAGGACTTTAATATTTGTGTAAATAAATGACACGTGTGTGTGTGTGTGTGTGTGTGTGTATGTGTGTGTGTATGTGTGTGTGTGTGTGTGTGTGTGTGTGTGTGTGTGTGTGTGTGTGTGTGTGTGTGTGTGTGTGTGTGTGTGTGTGTGTGTGTGTGAGATAAACATGCTCGCCTCGCAAGCGAACGGACCCGGGCTCGATCCCTGGGCAGGGTGAATCTATGTGCAAGTTTCTTTACGCCATTTGCCTCTGTCTACCCAGCAGTAGTTGGAGACCTGGATGTTAATCGATTTACGGATCGTGTTCCGAGGTAATGGTTAACCAGTGCAGTTGGCGAGTTGTCTGGTCTTCTCGGATTATTCCTTAATACTGGGTCATGCAGCTCGTTAACTTAGGGTGTGGTGGTTGTGTTGGCGACAGCTTCTACACCTTAAACAAATTCATGCCTAGGTGCTAGGTGGCCCTTGGGCCGGCCATCCTTGTTACACGAGAGGCAACCATTATATATTATTGACGTAGATATTTAGATCGAGATAAATGAATATAACATTAAGTCGCTTAGATTGATACATATACAGAGCGAGAGAGCGAGCTATTTTAAGATTCTGCACGTGGACCCAGGCAAGAATACCCTCTTTTAAGCAGCTGAGCCTTCACCGACACACAAGGCTGTGTTTACATTGTGTCTGTGGCTCCTGTCTTCCCACTATCACACACACACACACACACACACAAATATCCTCGATTCATATAAGGAAAAACAATTTGATTGGTGTTTATCCTTCCTCAGGTTGTGTTGATAGTTAATAGACAACTTTTGGTAAACATGTGAGAGTCATGAACCAATGTGAAATATTAGGAAGAGTTACTGAATATTTAGCTGATTAACTTAATGCCAAGGATTATCTTATGTGAGTCAGAGAGATGAATCACTGTTACGTCTCTTATTGGTTGATGGAGAGACCTTTAATCCTCAATGTCTCGTTAGTCTCTATCTCTCTACTTCCCTCACCTCTCTTCCCCCTCCCTCCCACGTTTCTCCTCAGCTGGGGATGAGAACCTATTTTACTGTATCTATGTACTGTATGTATGCATGATGCATGTATGTGTGTGTGCTTCTGGTTACCTGTGTAATCTCTGTAGAGGTGAACTGGAAGCAACATTCATAAATGTTTATGGGTTAAGTTTACAAACCCAAATGGTCTTTTCTCCGTTTATTAAAATTTAATAAACTGTCGCACATTTACTGGCGTTTAACCGTAATTAACGCTGTGAGCATGAATAATGGACGAAGCGAATGTGTAATTAGCTCCATAGGCACACGTCTAGTGGGCGTGAGAGACACGAACAGACTGGCCGAGGGCCAGCTACTTTATTTATGACTGTGGTTAAGAGACGAGAGTTCAGTGGAAATATACTGTCACATGTCCAATGGATGACTTCTCAGGGCTCATAGTAAACTTACCTTGGGTGATGTAATTATATAAACCTAATGTATGTAACCCACATTTATTTAAGTATTACTGTCTGTTAGACGGGCTAATACATATCTATGTCTGTCTACTTGTCTACCTGTTTGCCTGTCTGAAAGTCTGTCTGCATCTCTGTGTCAGCAGAGGTACAAGTGTGTGTTGTGGGAAGAATCGAAAGGTTAATTTGGCTCATTTTAAACAGTGTTTGACACACACACACACACACACATACACACACACACACACACACACACACACACACACACACACACACACACACACACACACACACACACACACACACACACACACTCAGTGTCGTCATAATCACACGTAAGCCTAACCGAATGACGTAAAAATCACATGTATAAAGAGTGGAGTGACGTCAGAATCACACGTGCGACGAACCGAATGACGTCATAATAATTCTGATCATCTAGTACAGTAAGTGTGTAATTGCTCTCGAGTTCGTAAATGTCTGTAATTACGGGAGAAAAGTGTTGTCGTACGTGTGTGGGTGCTGGATTACCTGCCCTCCCCCGCCCTGGCTCCCCCGCCTAGCTCCCCCGCCTAGCTCCC